TGTCTGCGATCTGTTACGTGATTTGTCCGATGTTTGCTATCTGTTCTGCAATATGTTGTCCTATATTTGCTATCTGTTTTGCAATCTATCCGATGTATGCGATGTGCTTGTTGTTTGTGATTTGTCTTATATATGTGATCGTTTTGTGTGATATCTGTATGCGTTTGACTCTGATTTCATTCAGAGTTCTGTCATTTTCAGCTCCGTGCGACTCTGTTTGGTGTTTACTTATCACTAACCTTGATAAAGTTAAACATTGCTTCTTTTTTATGAATTTTGATTTATAAAAAATTAATAGTACCACTAGATTCTTTTTTTTCAGTCTGTTTCACAAAAGATGATCTAATTTTATATTTAGTAAATTTATCAATTTTAAATATACTTAATAAATATAAATAATTTAATTAATTTTCTAACTGTCTTACAAGTAACACCCACTCAAAACCTTTTGCTTCTATATCTCTTTTCAATTAACAAATATTTTTATATACTTTTACAACTCTCTAATTTTTTTAAAAAACTAATTTAGGGTAATGATAAATAAATAAATAAATATTTTTATTTATTTGTATTATATAAAATTTTATTCTCTATAATGATGTTCATATTGTATATATTTTATTGAGAGATAAATATTAAAAGTATTTAAAATACCAACAAATCTACTCATATAAAAAATAATAAAATAATATTATAACTTATTATTAATAATTTATTAATCTAGACTATCTAAAATACTGTATTGCTAACACAATGATTCATCTCGCTGGGACCAAGAGAGTATTAAGTAATTTCATGTTTAAAGCACATTAAAATTTAAATAAAATGTCTGTATACTTATTTGATTGGGATAAAGTATATGAAATAATTTGAGAAAAAAACATAAGTGTTTAGATAAATAGAAATTTATATACATTTTGATATATATATATATATAGTTTAATAATAATTGTTTTAATAATATAACTTTATAGAAAATTTTAATAATTTAACTGTACAAAAACTGAAAAAAAATGAACACATTGATTTGGTTTTTCATATTTCTTCTAAACACATATATATATATACTTTTTTTTACTAATTTTGTTAACTATTTTTGTTTATTTGTACTATATGGAAATTATTTTCTATATTCAAATAACATCATAATCAAATATAGATATATTTTTAGAAAAAATATAATAAAACAATTTTTTAAATTAATTTCTAATCAACTATATCATAATTTAACTTTCAATAAAAGAGCATCTAAACACTCAATAGTAACTCGAGTTACTACCCAAAGCCAGAAAATTATTGATTGGAATTATGAATTACCTTGTTCTTCTTCTTTTATTTTATTTTTATTATTTTTTTTTCATCTAACTTTTCTTTTTCCACAACTGCCCACTTTTGATGCGAAATTGACACGACAAAAATATCACACGATGATCACTCGAAATTTAATTAAAAGTGTAATGATTACACCTCAAATAATTCTTGTTTTTGGTAGGCCCAAATTTGTTCAAAAGCTTCCCATTTTACTTATTTGCATTTTTTACTTGAAAATTGGTTGTATATATTTTATAGTTCAGTACAATTAAATTGATTTTAAGTTTTTATATAAAAAAATAAATGATCTCACATGTTTGAGAAGAAAATAATAATTTAGATTATATTATTATAGATATAATTTATTACAGGATAAGTTTTTTTTTTTAGTCTCGTAACTGAACTTATTTATCATTTTAATCCCGGAACAAAAGATTGTTTTAAAATAATCTCGTTTTGTACATTTAGTCATTGATGCTTATATGGCACCTGCGTGGCATGCCGGCGGATACATGTCGGTCAGATCAGTGTCACGTGGTGGACACGTGTCCGTCAAGTGGATAATTTTTAATTTATTTTAAAATATTAAAGAATAAAAAAAATTACAAATAAAATTTACATAAATTAAAATTAAAATAAAAGATTAAAATTATCCATGTGTCTGCTAGGTTAGCGCCACATCTGTCGATATTTAGATAAGTTTTATTTCTTATATTTTTAGACTTTTTTTTTTCTTATATATAGATATTGTATATTATATATTATATTTTTTGTAATATTTTGAGGAGATCGATTTTACGGTAAAATACAAAAAAAAAAAAGATACTCTTGCACACATATAATTAATACTCTTTTTGTCCATTTTAAAAATATATATTTATTTTTGACACAAAATTTTAAAAATAATTATATTTTAATTATAATAGATAGTTCAATTAGTATAAAGATAATTTTGTCATTTATTTTTTTATAAAAGTTATTATATAATGGTAAAATAGAAATATTTTTTTAAAAAAATAGAATTTATATATAGTTACTAAAAAGAAAATTAATTAATTAATAATTAAATAATCAAAAATAAAAAATATATATATTTTTTGAGTGAACATAGAAAGTATTTATTATTATTCAAAAAAATATGAAATTTATTCAATTAATCACTGTTAGCTCAATGTTCACTGTTTGTTCTTTTGATTTTTATTTTAAAAATATTTTTGGAATATTTTTATAATTATATTTTGATTTTTGAATGATATAAATATTAGATATAGTATTTTGTAAAAAAATAACATATTTTTTATACATAGCATTGAGATTGTAATAAATAAATTAAAATATAAAAAATAAAAGAAAATGGAGCCTTGGTCTTTTGGTTAATAAAATATTTTCTGGATGGCATTTCAATTGATTCTATTTTTATTGTTTGTTCATTTTAGTTAGTACATTTTTATTTTTTGTAAAATTTATTAAATTGAAGCAATATTAAAAAATATAATTAACTTAATTAATTTCATAACATATAATATTTACATCACGTAAGATTTACTCAAAATATTTTTATTTTTATCCTTCGCTCATTTTTAACTATAAATAATATGTTTTTATTATACATAACAATCTGTTGTGTGTAATAACAACGTGTGTTGTTCTAATTTTTTCAAATCATCACCGTAACTATTCCCGGAGTAAATTATAAGAATTTTTTACTAAAAATATTTGAAACAAAAATCCGAAAAAAAAAAAAATATATAATCAAACACTTTCAAGAACTCAAATTTATGTGAAATATGGAAATAAGTGTAAGAAAATTGTGCAAAAGTTTTGTATGATACGGAGGCAGTAGAACTGTGTATATAAATAAATGAATAAATAAATAATACTCCATCCGTCTTAATAAAATAGTCTTGTTTATCGTTTTTGTCGGTCTCAAAACAATATTGTTGTTTTCATAAATAATCATATCACCATAAAACTACCCCTGTTTTTTCATTTTTATTACACAATTGTCACTACTTTTTACACTAATACACTCACAGGACAAAAAAAAATTTTATCCATATTTTTTATCAAACTACCAATATAATATCAATATTACTTGAATCTCGTGTCCAACTCAATTAAGGCTATATTAATTGGAGGAATGGAGTTATTATTTATTGATTTGAGTCTTAGAAATCACGCCTTAAAAGCAGTGGGGTAATGTAATTAAAGCTTAAGGATCATCTTAGATTAGCTTTAATTTAATTTAATTTAAATTATTGTATTCTTACCAATTCTTTATCAACTTAAGATTTATATTATACGATGATGTTAGCGCCTCTCTTTATAACGACTTGGGCTGTGTTTGTTTGTGTTCGACTTTTGTGCCTAAAAGGAGGTAAGAAGACATAAGTTTGTCCACTCAATAATTTTTTTTTTAGATGGCACGACTTCTATAAATATTACTATAAAAAAAATATTCCCTCCGTCCCAAACAAGGTGTAACATTTGCTTTTAGCACGAATTTTTAGGTGGGTAGTATTAAGTATGATAATTTAGAAATTAGGTGATGTGATGGAGAGAGAAATATATTTTTTTATTTTTTATTTTTGGATGATGTGAGATGATAAAGTGTGGGGTGGAGATTAAGTATAATTAATTATTTTCTATTTTAGAAATGTTGCATGGTATTTGGAACATACCAAAAAAGAAATGTTGCAGAGTGTTTGAGACGGAAGGAGTATAATATATACATATTAATAATATATATATATATACATATAATAAAATTGTTGGTTAACTCTTGTAAATAAATAAATAAATTATGTCTATTCCTAATATCTTATGTTTCTAGAGGAGGCAATCTTTTTTAAAAAAAAATTCGAATTTGGAGGAAAGGGAATCTTATTAAAATTTTAGTTTATTTAATTACTTATTATTATATTTAAATATTTTATTAAAAATTTGATAATATTTTCAAATTTTTAATATTTATTTATTTTATTTTTAATTATATCAAATAAATATTATTATATATATTGTAATAAATTTAAATTATATTATATATTTTAAAATATTTTAATCAAATTTAATTATAATTTTAAAATTATTACATTTTCACTACCTTTAATTAGGAATATAAAATTATATTATAATTTACTTTAATTATAAAATTAAATCAATTTTTTATTATCTTAAAAAATTTATTCTCTCCTCTAGCTGCAAAGTATACATATTTCTATTTTGATATTTTTTTTTTTTTCACAAATACCCTTATTTTACGTCATATTATTACTTTTATAAAAAAAATAAAGACAAAAATATCATTACACTATTTTTACATGTCCACTATAATTAAAATACTATTATTTCTTAAAGTCTCAGACAAAAGTAAATGTATACTAATTGTTTACACGAATGGAGTATTTATTATAATTTTATTAATCATGATATATTTAATAATATTTAATACATATTTATTTTAATAAAAAAATAAAAAATGAAAAAATTAAATCAATTTTTTATTATTTTAAAAAATATATTTATTATAATTTTATTGATCATGATATTTTTAATAACATCTAGTACATATTTATTTTATTAAAATAATAACAAAAATAACAAAAAAATTACATAAATTAAATTTAAAATAATATATCAATTATTAATTAATTCAATTTACTGTACACCCCAATTCCTATACCCTAATTTTTATCTCCCCCAACATACGACCCCCCCGCTCCTCAATCTCTCCCTCACCACAACTGCGCCGCCGCTGCCGCCCTTGTCGACCGCACGCCGCCGCTGGCCAACCTTCGCACTCTATTTTATTCACTTTCTCTCACACAAACAAGAGATCACCGACGCCGCCGCCACTCACTCCGACCGCGCGCCGCCGCCTGCCCCCCTCGACCACATTACGGTAAATTTTTGTCTTGGGAGAATTCTTTTTTGTTGAATTGTGTTGTATTTTCTTGGATTAAATATGTGTCGAATTATGTTAGATTATGTATGTGTTTGGATTAAGTTTGTGTGAGTTATGTTGGATTAAGTAATGGATTATTTTTCGTTTTGCGTTTATTTATGAATTATAATTTTTGTTTGTATTAATAATGAGTCTAACGAGTTTAAACTAGTTCGAACGAGCTTTAATAAAGCCGAACATGAATTATTATTATTGGTGACCAGTGAAAAAATCTGTTCAATTTGGAAGAATTAGTTGCATATGTTTTTTAGCTAATTGATACTCTTGAGGGAAAATGTTGTTGTTATACATAATCCAAAATTCATTTGCAGCTAATTGAAAACTGTACAATGACTAAGTCGAGGTCCGAATTGAAAGGAAAATCCCAAGCTCCTCAAGAGGATTCCAAGGAACCGAAAATGGATATCAAGTCTATCCTGAAAGATATCGAGATTTTGGGTAATTAGAACACGCTTAAGAATGACATACTATCTTTGCACTTATGTTTACATTCCGAAGTAACCGTTGCATATAAATTCAGGGTCGACGCATATGACATGGAAACAAAAGAAGGATTGGGAAAATAAAAAAGTGGTATCCCTTGGCGGAAAGGTAAATTAATATCAATCTATATGTCTATATCATATAATCAATCTCTGTTTTATATTGACTGTGTGTTTATTCAACAGCCTCCGAAGAAGCAGAGATTACCTCTCAGTGTGGCGCGAGCAACAATGAAGAAGCAAAAAGAGATGGAAGAAAAAAAGTCGAAAGAGGTTTGATGAAAATTTATTTTTAAAAATTTGAGCTTTTGTATTGTTTGTTGTTATCACTAAAACTCTATAGCATTTCAACTATGCCTCAATGTCCAATAATACTTCCTAACTATTTTTTTTCAAAAAATTGATATAATTTGTTTTACTCCCTCCGTCCCATAAGTAAATATCCATTTATTTTTTACACGTAGTTTTAGAAATATTAGTATTATATTGGGTTATAGTAGAAATAAAGTAGAAATGACTAAAATAACTTTATTAATATGTGTGATATAAAGGTAATAACATTTGTGTAACATATTGTAAGTTGTAAGGGTATTTGTAATGTTTGGTAGATAGTACAGTTACTAAAAAAAAAGAAATGGATACTTTGTTATCGGACGGACTAAAATGGAAAAATGGATAGTTTGTTATGGGACGGAGGGAGTATATGCTATTAGAGCCGGGACGTATTCCTTTATAATTGAGTTTTTTGGTAAGAATCATTTAAAGTTTTTCAACAATTGATTTGTATTCACAGAGAGAATTGCTTGGAAGGTTTGGAGCATATAGTGGCAGTAGGTCAAGAAAAATGGAGAGGCGTCGGCCTGAAGATAAAATTTTGAAATCAACTGAAGGAAATTTCAGAAATGGTGTCCTCGACGTCAAGCATCTATTACAGCCCTCTGCTCCCCGAGTTGCTAATGACAATAGCGGGCATGGTACATTCAGCAAGGGTAAGAAAAAGAAAGGCGGTAAGAAAGGACACGGTAAGAAAAAGGGGTTCGGGAATAAGAAGCGACATTAGTAATATCTATCCCTAACATAGAATCGAAGATGCCTATGCTATTTAATGATCGATCGTGGGACAACATAGCGATGTAGTCCTCCTATATGCTGTTGTTCTGCTTTGATGTTTTGATGTCTGAAAATCGATTCTTGAAATGCTGATTCCTGATTTAGTGAGTCTTGATCGATGTTTTGGTTGTATGATAGTGAGCTACTTGGTGTAAAATTGCTTTATTTGTTAACATTAATGGATTCTCTTGTTAATACTTCTTGGGATGTATTAGGTAATATCTTTTAATATTGGGTAAATTATATAATATCTCTTTGTGTTTAATAAAAATGCATAAAATATCTTGTGTTTTATTTATTGAGTGATATAAAGTTTGTAAGAAACATCCTTTTTATTGATGTTTGATTCTAAATAAAGATTTAAATTACTCATTTTTTATACAAATAAAAAATGTTAAATATTTTAAATGATTTTTTTGAACAAAATAAATAAATAAATAATTGATTAATCATTTATTTTTATATTTTTTTTTATAAAAATCAGATAACAATTTGTCTCTAAAAACTATAAAATTAAGATTGATCAATTATAAATTTGTTTATTTTATTCTAAAAGATTATTTAAGATATTTTAAGCTGTTTATTTGTATAAAATTTGTGTGTTTTTATTTATAACCAAACATTAATTTTGGACAAAAGGGTGTTTCGTGTAAACGTTACATTAACATAAAGTGTTTCACGCAATAAATAAAACACAAATTGTTTTGTACATTTTTACTAAAACACAACGGGGAACAAATGAATAATAGCTTTGGATGTTTGTTCATGCGAATTCCTAAGTTTGTCCATTAAATTTATTTCATTACTAATTTTGGTAAAGTCAACAAATTTAAGTGTAATTATTACTCTCCATTTTCAACACTTGTTTACAACAAATACCACAATTTTATTATATTTTTTTTCTTCATTTATTCTACATTCGAATTAAAAATTTCTAAAAATACTTCAAACTATTTATTATTTTTTTTAATAAAATATTTATTTTTCGTAATTCTCATGCATGCCGAGTCCAAATAAACTAAGTTTAGTGGACAGATGTATTAATTAATGGATTACTAAGTGGAACGAATCGTGGATAACTTGTATTATTATTATTATTATTATTATTATTATTATTTAAATTAATTTTTTATACTATTTTATTTTAATTAAAATAATGTATTAGACTGTTTTATTTTATGATTATTAAAACAAGAAAATGTAACTATGAAAAATAAATAAATAACGCAAGGTGCGTTTTGTAATTTATAAATCCTTTTTGTTTTATTGTTATGGTGACTGAATACAACTTTTATTAGAAAAAGGATTGTACTTCTATACATGAATGTGGCAAAATGTAGAAAATAAAATAAATCACATTGGGGTATTCTTTTGGGATTTTTCTTTTTTTGGAATAATAATTCAAATGCAGAGTATTATTTTCTTATAAAAGAAAATATAGTACTATTCGCCCACTTGCACTTTCTTAAAGTGTGTTTGTCTAAGGTTCCGAGTTTGAATAACAGGCGTTCATGAGATATTTTAAATGTAAAATTGATTTTTTAGCATGATATAAAAAAATAAAAAATAAAAAAATAGATGTTTGACTTGATATTTTTTTTAAGAAAAAAATAAAATAAATAGTATATTTAAAATCCAATCTCCCAAACAAACACACCCTTGTCGCTTCTCAATGCATCTTCTAGAGTGCAATCAAATAGTTATACATTCTTCAGTCATTCTTTCACGACAACAAAGCCATCAACTTATTCTCCTATGTCTGCTACCCTATACAATGATTTTTTGGCATTCTAAATTATTAAGAAATTTATTATTTATTTATATAAGTATATTGCAAATCGATTGATTTTTAAAAATCAATCAATATCTCTAAACAAAAATATACCAACCAACCATTATAGGGGAAGCAATATTTGATTATACCCAAATTAAATTGAACCGATAGGCGATTACTCCAGCATTAAATCGCCGACTATAAAATGTTGTAGCAACGACTGTTCTAAGAAATAAACTGAAGTACAATATACAAACAAACAAATAACTAACCTCATCACCAATGAATCAATACTTGTCGATGTCATAAAACTCAATAGTCTTGTATTTCTGGGATATGATCTCCGCCTCAACTTTTCTTGCCGTGTCGCTTGCGCAGCCCACCAGAATCAGAACAGAGGTGCCGGCAAAGCCTCTAAATGCGGTGAGATGCGTAGCTTGTTCGATTACAGCCGGACCTGCAGCAAGTATTGCCAAGAACGCAGAACCGAGGACAGATATCCGGCTGAGAACCTACAGAAAATGTTTGTTTCAAGGGCATTCGGAACTCTGGGATGCAGCCACTGAATTTTTTTTGCATGCAGCCCAGGCTAAAGCTCGATTCAAAAAAGCATATAATACTTGTTTGTGTTTTCAAGAATATCAAGATATCCCAAAGCAATATAGTCGCCGTTTAATAATAAATATTCCAAACTATTCTTTTTATGTAAACTTGCACAAGATTCTCTATTATTTTTGAAAATATTACATGGAATTCCCAAAAAATAAATTTTGTACAATGTTGCAAAAAAGATCAGGGAATCTCATGCAATTTTTAAATCATAAAGAAGAATAGTGTAGACTTTCCAAATCATAAGTAAGTCATAAATAATTTTGCCTAAATAAATGCACTAGTTTGGCAGATCTACAAATTCGATATAATGAAGAAACCATGAAAAGTTAAATGTCATGTGTAGATAAACCCAAGCATTGACTTACACCAAAAATAAAATAAGTAAACAGAATGAGAGTTACAACTCAAACATCACAGAAACATTAACAGGAATCAATAAGTGAATGAATTCATGTAATTTTCAGCTTCAGGGATCTGAAGGAGAATCACATTAAGCCCTAAAAATCTAAGCCTTTTAAATGAATCAAAACACTTTACAGGTCCCAATTTTCCATGAAAATCTTCAAAAACAAACAGTTTAGAAAGTAAAGGAATCAACTTAAGCATAACAGGTATTATTCAGAGGGAAGACATTACCGTTTTAATATATAAAGCGGTACTTTTTCCAGGTCGAACAAGTGGGATCGAAGCACCTTGCCTTTTCAACTGTTCACTAACATCATCGGGATCCAGTTGCAGGAAGGTGTAGTAGTAATTAAAGAATGCTATCAACAGAATGTTTGTTGGCAAGTACAATGAACCTGGAAATTGATGAACATCAGAATTCCAGAAATTATGTTTTCCTTTAGCCAGAAATCGAAGCAGAAATGCAGAACAGAAAATTGCTAAAATTTCCTCCCGACTATATCTTCATGAATATCATCAGGACAATTTCCATAGAAACTCCATTCACCAGAATATTCCATGTTGCAGTTTTCCAATGCAATAAGCAACAATCAGAGTACTAAACTCTAAAGGGGTTTGTAACCATCAAACCGGAAAAGAAAAAGAGACGATTCTTTAGTCAAATACAATGTTATTAAACGGAATTACGCAGAAAAATTCTAGCACCATAAAATAACATGTTCATGCATTAGATGCCTCTAAACTAAATTTTAATCAATCTTAACGCTAGCAGGTAAACAAGCACAAGAGGGAAAAACATATAATCAGTCATACCCCCAGGATTTAAACCTATAGCTGCTTTCTTCAAAACATTCAGACCAGTAAAGCGTGCAAGAGTTCCTGGAAGAGCCAAGGAAGAAGTAGAGAAAATGATTGGCATCACTCCAGAACTATTGACCTGCAGAAAAAAGAAATGTTAAGATATGTATGCATAAACATCAACTATTCCAGTTATACAAGACAATGAAATTCTTAAATTGATTCAATGAAATGAAATGACTATTTTCTGTTCCACAGGAATCCAAAATAATTGCGTCTCCCATGTATCACAACTATACGAAGGAAGCATGAGATATCAATTACTTAAAAGAGAAGAAAGCGGTAGTCATACCATAAAAAGTGTACAGATAGCCAGACATTCGAATATGGAAACAAAGTTTGAATAGACAAGTTGTAAATAGAAACTCAAAAAGCTTATGGAAATCCACATAAATTCCTTAAATAGTGCTGGAGTTGGAAGATCAATTTGTTGAAAAGATACAGAAAACATGAGGAACTGTATATTTCAACTCTATTTTCTACCGTACATTCTATCAATATATATACAATTTCTTGGTACACTAAACAAGAAAAATCCTAAGATCACCCTTTCTCTCAAGATTACTCCATTATATCAATTAGTATTAAAGACAATTTACGAGTTTTAAAAACTATGTGTTACCTTGATTCACTCTACTAATTTACCTGTATTGTCTCCTAAAATGACTCATTCATGATTTCTTGACACTCTCCCTCAAGCTGGCAAACATATGGTGGAACATATGGTGTAAAACAAACCCCAAAACCGGTGAACATATGGTGTACAAACCAGTCTACTTTCTAGCTTCTCTATAATGAAGTGCCCATACTTTGTTTGATCATGGGTGTGTTTGTTTGGATGATTTGTTTTGTTTTCCACTATTCAAAATTTTCTTTCCCCACAAACATCAAATCAATACTTATTTTTTATATTACACTAAAAATCAATTTTCCATTCAAAACATTATATCAATTTCTATTTATATCACATCAAACAACAATTCAAATTCAAAATTTTACTATTCATAATTAAGTGGGATTTTTGAGACCTTGAAGGGTAGGTACGCAGATTTTTGAAGTCCTCCAGCTCCAGCAGCATATCGTGATGCATAATTAAGTGGGATTTTCCTTTCTGCTTCCTGAAAGAAAAAATATACACATCCCACTAAATAACATAAGCAACTTGAGTTTGCGTATAATAGCTTTACAAGATCAACAAACACTCGCCTGAACATACACAATCCCAAGTACTAGCAAGAAGAAGGAAACTATGATGCCTCCAAGTCCAACATAGTTCCCATCTTGAAATGCCTGTGCAACCGTCCTCCCAAATGATGCCGGTAGGTAGGAGATGATATTTGTGAAGATCAAAAGAGATGTACCATTTCCAAGTTTTAAATCTGTAATTCTATCCCCGATGTATGTTGTGAAAGCTGCGCCAAGGGTTAGCAAAATAACAGTAGAGAAGACCCACTGACTGCTGAAGTCATTAACATAAGGGCGAAGATATAGCACTTGGCCAATGGCCTGCCAAGAAAATAAGAGTAAGAATTGTCATATCAATTGTGAAATATAATTTTATATTAAAACATTGAAAGGAATAAAAAACATGGTATAATTGACTAAGGAAAGACAATTATTTTATTCAGGCACATAATTTAGAACTGGGATGTTGTCTATCACACTAATATGGTTTATATAAAACAGACTCCATAAAGTACTTTTCATGCCTTTTATAAGTTTGAACTTGCAAAAGTTTATTTGCAAGAAAATTTTTTTGTGCAGCATCTGACCACTGTGCATCATTACCTGAACCACCGCAAAGCCGACTGATGCATAACGAGTATACTGAAGTACTTTCTTTCTTCCAGCTTCACCTTCTCTTTTCTGAAGCTCTTGCAATTTGGGGTAGATTTGTGTGAGAAGCTGAAAAACAATCTGAGCATTGATAAAGGGAACAATACCAAGAGAGCCTATTCCAAGCCGACCAATACCCCCTCCAGAAAAAGAATCCAGAGTGCCCAACAGGCTATTTTGATCTAAATTACCAGCAAAGGCTTCCCTATTCACACCACCAAGAGGAGTGTATACTCCAACTCGTGACAGGGCCAGAAAACCTAAGAGCTTAAGAAATTTTCCTGGCAATGGACCTTTGAAGAAATCCCCGATATCAATGCTAGTATCTTCTATGGCAGCTGGAAAATGTCAAAGAATCCTAATCAAGGGCCAAAGCAGCAGGTAAACATTTATAACACACTATACTGTAGAAACATATTTAATGGTGAATAAACCTGCAACTCCCTTTGCTGATGAAACTTTATCCTTTCTGGTGCCTGAAGTACTCATAAGAGTTTGAGAAAATAACTCTAAACCACTTTCCCAACTCTTTTTTAAATTTGAGAGGCCATCCGGATTAATCCCCAGTGGATCAAATGCAGAAATCTCACTTCTGGCAAGAAATTCAACATAGACAAGAAAAAAAGAAGATGAAAATCAGATCACAGTAAAGAAAAACCAAACATGTAAATTAGATGGAACTTCCTCAGAAAAAAGCATATATTTCGAAACTCAAAGTCCACTCTTACAAGATCAATTGCTGATTTAATACCTTCGCTTACATGTACTTATCCTGGGGGAAATTCATACACAAGTTACAAAACTGCTACAAGATTCTCAATATCTAGTCTTTTTGTTTCTTCATTTAACTTTCTGGTCACAATGAATGGAAGCAACACAGCAGTAGATTCAATCTAAGAATGTGTTTGACTGCACCTACAACAAAACTATCAATATGAAAAAAGCAAAATCAACATAAAGTCATCGTATCCAGCAAATTCATATATTTTATTCAAGCATTCTAGTAAGTTCAGAGTTCATATTTGATTCTCATCAGAAACTAGCTGCTTAACAGCATCACATATAAAGTGTGACTCAATGTGTTACTTGCATTTATTCCATAATCAAATCCATTCGGTAATCATGATTAAACTAAATGGTTTTTGATATATTATACTACAACAGATTAATGCAAATGCAGTTCAGGCAGCTTAAAAATAGCCATTCTTTATACCTCAAAAGAAATTAAGCATCTAATAGCCGTAGAAAAAACCTAAGCACTTAAGCAGCCTATATATGTATGAAAAATCAAGAAAAATGAGTTGTCTTAAACAGGACACAACAACAAAAACGTTACAACAGAAGCAAAGCCAGGGGAACTTGTGAAAACTTTGAAATTACGACAAAGCTTGTAAAAATACGAAACCCAAACACGATAAAACCTTCGAAAATTTTGAAATGGAAAACAAAACACTGGAAAATAACGAGTTCAATGTAGTAGCGGGTACCTTTGGTTGTGGCTGCCGCTGCTGCTTTTCCCGGGAATACTGAGAGTGGCCCTGCATATGGAGTTCCTCTGGGTCTTGGCGGCATAACTGCTAGTCTTGGAAAGATTTTTTGATGTAGATTTGTGATTCAGAGAAGTGTTGGCGGTAGAGAAGGCGGATGAAGAAATTTGGCGGATTGAAATCAACATTATCTCGACCAACACGAGATGCTGGAGAGAGACGAGAGAAGAGAATAGACTTGCCCAATGGTCTCGAACCGGCGGTTGGAACCTCCGGTTCTCCGGAGCCAACCGGCGGTTCCGGTTTGTACCGGAACCACCACCGAAACCGAAACGGAAACCGATTTTTAATGGTTCGGTTGGATTTTTCTCCCAACAGCAAACCGCCAGGGGTTTGGGTTATTATTCCTCTGTCCACTAACAAATTATCCATTTTTTTTATTTTGGTCTATCCAATAATAAAAGTATATATTTTTTATAGTAATTGTACTATCTATCTAATATTACAAATACCCTTACAACTTACAATATATTACACAAATGTTTTATTTTTATATCACACAATACAAATAAAGTTATTTTATTCATTTCCACCTTCTTTTTACTACTTCCCAATATAATATTAATATTTTTAAAACTTCGTATAAAAGGAAAACAAATACATAGATATGGAATAAAAATGAGTATTAACGAATACATAGATATGAATGTAAAGAGCACTCCTTCGTAAATACGAAAATTTACTTAAACTGAATCTAATAAAATAGTACTATTATTAATATAATTTTTATATAATATATAAATAATAAATATATATATCTTAATAAAATCAAAATAAATATAAATATTTTTTTAATAAATTAACATTGTAAAAAATAAATAAATATAAATATGCAGTTCAAAACTGGAATAGTCCGTAATTAAAATTTTCAAATCGAAATCATAATCGTGATTCGAAAAGTTCGATTTCCTTTCGTACTTTTGATAAATTAATAATCGACTATTTCAAATCATAACTAATGTTTCGAACTGTTTTGACAAATTTAGAAGAAAAATCATGGAATGAAAGTGTATTCTTATTTCATTGCATGGATATAATTTATGTTCTCATATTTAATAGTTTTCTAAATTTTGTCCATTTAATAGTAATTTTCTAAAAAATAGTTTATGTCAAATATAGTCTAACAATCTATTTAGAACAATTAATTAATAAGTATTTATGAATTTCTTTATCTTCTCTCTACATTAATATTTATCTTGGTTTCCATTATACATATATATATATTTAAGATTATATTATCATTATTATTATTATTATACTTTATTTTCCTGCATTAATTTATATTAGTAGTATATATTATATTCTATTTCGTCCCACCAAATTATGTCAATTTTTTTTTGTCCCATTCAATTATACTATTTTTTTAAATGCAAAAATTTAAAAATTTAATAACAATTAAATCTCAATGTCCCTTAAAGATGGTCTAGTACCGTGAGATGAATTCGTAATCATAAGGTCATTCGTATTAGGTTTGGTAAAACGTATTTGTTATTCCTATTATATTTTGTGTTGAATTGTGTGCAATGGAAGTTTTTTTTTTTTGGATGAACACATAATGTTCTCTTAGTCCTACCGGAAAAGAATTTTTTTTTTTGGGGATTTTGTAGTAAATTAAGAGTGAAAATGAATTATTTGGGATTTTATAGTAATTAAGAGTAAAAATCTTAGTCAGGTGAGTAAGATTTTTTTGCGATTTTATGTATAAAGTAATTATACATGTAATTTTTATATTTCTAATTTATGTAAAAATTAAATATATTAATTTATGATTATTTTTATTGAAATAGAAAAAGAATATTTGAATTAAATATGGGGCTAAATTGCACAAAATCCACGTGTGATTTCGTGAAATTGCACCAAATCTCTGTACTTCTAAAACTGCGTCAAACTCCCTCGTAGTTTCATAAACTTTGCGTCTAAGCTCTTCAGCGGTCCTTATTTAATGGTATTTGACCTAAATGCGCTCAAATTGCGAATAAATTTTAGAATAAAAATAAACTCCTAAAAGTTGAGAAAAATAACTATTTTTAGTATATTTACTATTTTTCAGAGTAAATATAAAAATAAATAAATATATTTATAATTTTAGGGATTTATAAATTGTGATTCTAAAATTTATTCGCAATTTGAGGTAAATAACCTTAAATAAGGACCACTGAGGGGGTTAGACGCAAAATTTATGAAATTATGAAAGAGTTTGATCGCAGTTTTAGAAATAATGAAGATTTGATACAATTTCATGAAATATCAGATGAATTTTGTGCAATTTAACCTAAATATGGAGTGAAGTATGGTTCTTATAGTTCTTTTTCTATTCATCTTGCAAACAATTAAGGCCAAGTCAATACAACAAATTTTAGATTAATAATACGAAACCATTACTAACAGACGGAAATAATTTGGAATTACATTTTTTCAATACTATATTTTAAGTTTATATTTGGATATTTACGAATTTAGAAATAAAGAGGATGTGTTTGTTTGGAGATTTGGATTTTGAGTTGGGATTTGAATAGTAAAAATTTTGAATTTGAATAGTTGTATAATATGATATAAATAGATGTTGATGTAATTTTTTGAATGTAAAATTAATTTTTATTATAATATAAATAATAAAAAATAGGTGTTTGATTTGATATTTTCGGGGAGGGGGGAAATTGTGGATAAATATTAGAATTTTATTAAAATCCTTCCAACGAACAAACCCTATATATATATATATATAAAGATATAGATATATATGTTGTGCGCAAGTGGATCTCAGTAATTTGAAGCCACACCAATGGCGTCCATATCCTTAGCCAATTCTAGAGCGTCGCAATTAAACAATTTGGATTCCTGCTCGAGCATGGCGGAGCTGAAGCAGCGCCACGCTTGTATCGTCAAGCTCGGTCTCTCCTCCGACAATGACGCCATGGGCCGCGTTATCAAATTCTGCTCGCTCTCAAAATCAGCGGATTTGGATTATGCCCTCAAGGTGTTCGATACATTGCCCCGCCCAGATGCTTTCATATATAACACCATCTTCAGAGGGTATTTACAGGAACACATGTATAGACGCTGCATTGTCTTATACGCCAAGATGCTGGATAGTTTCGTGACTCCGAATAAATTTTCATTTCCTCCTGTTATACGAGCCTGTTGCGTCGATTTAGCGGTTAAAGAAGGGAAGCAAGTCCATGCTCAGGTGATTAAATTTGGATTTGGTCAGGATTCTTTCTGTCAGAACAATTTGATTCATATGTACGTGAACTTTGATTCCTTGGAGGAAGGGAGGAGGGTGTTTGATAATTTGGAAAAGAAGGATGATGTTTCTTGGACTACATTGATCAGTGGTTATTCAAGTCAGGGATTTGTTGGCGAAGCTCTCGGCATTTTCGAGTCATTGCCGGTGAAAAATTCGGCGGCTTGGAATGCTGTGATAGCAGCTTTTGTACAGAACAACAGGTTTCATGAGGCCATCAGTTTGTTCAATAGGATGAGAAACGAAAATGTGTCGATTGATAAGTTCGTGGCCGCGAGCATGCTGTCAGCTTGTACGGGGCTCGGCGCATTGAAGCAGGGCGAATGGATACACGACTATATCAACAGTAGCGGGATTGAAGTGGATGCTAAATTAGCTACAACAATTATCGATATGTATTGTAAGTGCGGGTGTGTGGATAAAGCTTTGGAACTATTCAATGGCTTGTCTTGTAAAGGCATTTCGTCGTGGAATTGTATGATCGGCGGCTTAGCAATGCACGGTAAAGGCAAGGCCGCTATTGACCTGTTTAAAAAAATGGAGGCAGCTACGGCGAGGCCTGATTACATAACATTTGTGAATGTGTTAACCGCGTGCGCGCATTCAGGATTAGTCGAGGAAGGGAGGTATTATTTTTCTTACATGACTGAAGCTTATGGCATTGTTCCGGGAATTGAGCATTATGGTTGCTTTGTGGATTTGCTCGGGAGGGCAGGATTGTTAGTCGAAGCGAGGAAAGTTATAGATGATATGCCTGTAAGAGCTGATGCTGGAGTTTTAGGTGCTCTACTCGGGGCGTGTCGAATCCATGGAAATATTGACATGGCAGAGGAGATCGGAAAGCAGGTTATTGAACTCGACCCGAATAACAGCGGACGGTATGTCCTCTTGGCTAATCTTTACGCGAAAGCCGGTAGATGGGAAGAAGTTGCGAATATTAGGAAGTTAATGAATGATCGGGGAGTCAAAAAGGTCGCGGGGTTTTCCATTGTTGAGTTAGAAGGTAGTGTAAATGAGTTCATTGCTGGGGGAAGAACACATCCACAAGCTACGGAGATTTACGCGAAAGTTGAAGAAATGCTGGGCTGTATCAAAGATCTTGGATACGTGCCGGACAGCGATGGATTGGTGTACGATGTAAGTGAGGAGGAAATGGAGAATCCGTTGCACTACCATAGCGAAAAGCTCGCGATTGCTTTTTCGCTGCTGAAAAGTAAACATGGAGAAACTATTCGAATTACGAAGAACTTGAGAGTCTGCAAAGACTGCCATCGAGCGAGCAAGCTGATTTCGAAGGCCTTCGACAGGGAAATCATTGTGAGGGATAGGAACAGGTTTCACCATTTCAAAGGAGGATTATGTTCGTGTAACGATTACTGGTGAAGGAAAACGATCTTTTTGTTATTGCTGAAAAGATTCGAATACATGAACAAGGTTGTTGTGAAATTATATACGAATCGAACACTTGTAATTCACTCAAAGACATTCAGCAATTCAAAGAACTTAAAGAATCTTTTATTATATCGAAATCAAAGGACTCGGACTCAGTTATACCCAAATATCAATCGAACCAACGCAAAACACTCAACCTCGACCAAAACTACAAACGACATCCACGGAAACGCACAATCACGCTAACCAAACCACAATCTATGGAAACGCAAACATTTTAGGTCTAATTTCATCACGGACAATCAATATACACCGCGAACAACCAAAACAGACCCGAATCAAGAAAGCAAACCGATGGAAAGCTTTAGAACTCGTCGAACGTCAAAGCGCAGTATCGAAGCTCAAGATTCGCCGGACAGATCATCGGAAAACAGACCAGGAATATCGATCGAAGAGCGCCGTCGAGAGGGTAGGGTTTTATGGAGAGACAGATCGCGATTGAGAGAATAAAGAGTGAACCCGGTTCAAATACAAAACCATTTATATATAAGGCTCAAGATCAGATCCAACGGCCCAGATTCATTCCCTCAATCCAACGGCTGCTATCACATCTCATCATAGCCGGGTCGGGTAGCGGGTACTGAATCCGGGTTTCAGATGGACGGGTCGGGTTGAGTGTTGTTGGGCCTCCAACAGTCATAGGCCCAAAACCATCACAAATCTCCACCTTTTTGGGCTGAAAAATGTGTCAAAACTGGGCGTCTTCACAGTCCGAGCATTCAATGATTTCAGTCTTTTAACCTGCGGACTTATTAACGTGATTAGTATCCACAAATTTTAATTACACAAAAAAAAACAATTTACAGTAACAAAAAAAACAAAAACAGTGTGTTTTGGCACCTTAAAACACAGAATTTTAAGTTCTACAGTTTTTACAAAATTCTAATCAAAAGTATCGATATACACTGTTTTCTTACACAAATTGAATTTTGTTACCGACAAAACCTTTGTTCCCATGTCCGCAGAATTGTATTCGGAAGGAATTTTTTCAAGTTTTAAAAAACCTTTAGACACAACATCTCGAATAAAATGAAATATAACATCTATGTGTTTGGTACGATTATGAAAAACTGGATTTTTACAAAGTTGAATCCTCGATTGACTATCCGAAGACACTGTTACTTCATTGTTCAAGTATTTTAGTTCATTTAAAAGTCCATTTAGCCACAGAGCTTCTTTTAAAGCTTCGGTAATTGCAACATATTCCGACTCCGTCGTAGGAAGAGCCACAATATGTTGTAATTGTGACTTTCAACTAATGCAAGAACCACATAAAGTAAACAAGTAAGATGTAGTAGACTTCCTAGTGTCTCTATCGTTCGCATAATTTGAATCAACATAGCCAATCAAATCAATATCATGCACATGTCTACCAAATACCAAGCCTATGTCTAAAGTACCCACCAAATACCTAAAAACACACTTAAGAGCATTCCAATGTTCTATACCCGGGTTAGTCATGTATCGACTCAAAGAACTAATAGCATATGCTAAATCCGGCCTAGTACACACCATCAAATACATGATAGAACCTATGGCATTAGAGTAAGGAACATTCTTCATATAAATCACATCATTTTCAGATTTAGGGCATTGCTCTTTTGACAAAATGAAGTTAGATGTGAGAGGGACATATGAGGGTTTTGCATCACACATAAAAAAACTTTTTCAGAATTTTTCTAATATAAGTGGACTGATTTAAAAACAGCAAGTTTTCTTTCCTATTCCTCACTATATTCATACCAATAATTACTTTTGCATCCCCTAAATATTTCATATCAAATTTTTTGCTTAAGCAATCTTTCACATGATTTATTGTTTCCAAACTATGACCCATTAACAACATATCATCAACATATAACAACAAGAAAACCGGATGCTTACATGCTATTTTAAAATACAAACAATGGTCAAACTATTTCTAGTGAATTCCAAAGATTTCATGAATTCATCAATTTTAAAATTCCATTGTCTAGGAGATTGTTTTAACCCATAAAGTGATTTCTTTAAAAGACAAACATGATTTATTTTATTTTTATCAAGATAACCCTCGGGTTGTCTCATATATATCTTTTCAAACAAATCACCATGTAAAAATGTTGTTTTTACATCTAATTGTTTTAACTTCCAATTAAAATAAACAACCAAAGCAAGCATGACACGTATAGTGGCATATTTAACAACAGAAGCAAAAATCTCATTGTAATCTATCCCCTCATTTTGAGTATAACCTTTTGCAACTAATTTTGCCTTAAACCTAACTCCATTTTCATCTTGTTTTACCTTGTAAATCCATTTACAATCAACTATAGACCCGTTAAGCAACCTAGGAACTAACTCCCACGTGTTATTGTTCTTTAAAGACTCAATCTCTTCATTCATTGTCTTAACCCATTCTTTTTTATATTTTGATTTCATTGCCTCATTAAATGACTTTGGTTCATTTCCATCTAATGACTCAAACACATTATAAGAAAATTGATCAATATCAAAATCATTAAATCTATGGGACTGTCTAATATTCCTTGTACTTCTATCCCTAGCAAGTTGATAATTTTCCAGATTTTGATTGTCAATTTCAGCATTTTCAGAATCAATTTCCACATTTTCAGAATCTGAATTTTCATCCAGATTCTGCCTTTCAGGGTCAGTCCCCATGAACTGATCTGAAAATTCAGAAACAGTTGTTTCTGCCGGTTCAGCTCCCGGCAGAAACAGTCTGCTCACCCATTCCAGGTTCATCACTACTTAGTTCATAGAGATGATGCTCCACCTCATTTCGAATGTTGCTAGGAGCACTGTTAATAGCAATTTCCTCATTTAAGGATTGTTTTGTTGTTAAACAAGGCATGTCATATTCATTGAATATAACATCTCTACTTATAAAAGTTTTAAAACCTGGTTTAGAAGTTACCCATAGCCTATATCCCTTAACTCCATCAGGATAACCTAGAAATACACATTTCTCATCTCTAGGCTCTAACTTGTCATTGAAAATACGCAAAAAGGCTGAACAGCCAAACACTTTTAAGTTTGATAAATCCACTATCTTCCTACTCCACCTAAACTGTTCACCCTTTAAAGGTACAGATAGAGACCTATTTATCAAATAAGCCGTTGTTTTAATGACCTCACCCCAAAAGCGTTTTGATAAACCCGAGGAAGCTAACAAGCTTCGAACTCTTTCCAATAGAGTTCGGTTCATCCGCTCGGCCACCCCATTTTGTTGGGGTGTGTAAGGGGTTGTTTTATGACGCCTAATTCCATTTTCAACACAAAAGCTATCAAACCACTCATTACAATACTCTAAACCATTATCTGTCCTTAAACATTTTATCTTTTTGTCCGTTTGATTTTCAATCAAAATCTTCCAATTTTTAAAGGTTTAAAAAACATCATATTTTTGTTTTAACAAAAATTCTCAAACTTTTCTTGAAACATCATCAATTATTGACAAGAAATATTTACTCCCACCATGTGTGGGTTCACTAGAAAGGCCCCATACATTGGAGTGTAAATATTCCAAGACATCTCTTGAAAGAATTTTATTTTCAGCGGTAATTTTAGGGAAAGAAACTCTATGATGTTTTCCATAAATGCAATTTTTATAAAAAGGCATAGCTGAAACTTTTTCATCACCAAAATTACCGGATTTTTGCAAAATCTCTAATCCTCTATTACTCAAGTGACCTAATCTTTTATGCCACAATGCAGTTTTTTCAAAAGCAACATTTACCACATGCTCAAATTTTAAAACAGATACAACAGTCACTATGTAAAGATTATTTCTCATTTCAACTTTAATAACAACCAAAGAGCCTTTTATAATTTTCATATAATTCCCTCCCCACTTCCTCTCTAATCATAGGGAAGATAAACCCGCACAAGAAAGCAAATTACTTGACAAATCAGGCACATGATGCACATTTGATAGTTGTACCACAGATCCAGAACTGAATTTTAAAGAAACAGTCTATATTCCCTCAACTCTACAAATTCTATTATCCGCTATAGAGACATTGCAATTTGTAAGAGTTTTATAGTCCAAAAAAAATTCTTTAAAAGGTGTCATGTGATAAGTGCACATTGAATCTAATAACCATTCATTTTTGTTAAAAACAATCATTTTATAACATTCAACAGTAATGGCAAAAACATCACCCAAACAATTCTCTTGTAAAATCAAATTTGCTTGTTCATTTGAATTATTATTTGGGGCTGCTGAAACATTGCTTACATTGTTACTATTGTTATTGGAGTTTCTATTTTTCCTAGGGCAATTCCTAATGAAGTGTGAAGGATCCCCACAATTAAAGCAACGTTTAATATACTTAGAAGGGGTTTGTGACCTATTTTTAGACTTACTTCTAGACTTCTTCTTATGTTGACTATTATAGGAACTACTCAATTGCTTATTGTTATTGGAAGAAGAGTCATTCTTGTTTTGTCTAAAGGGAGATCTACCCCTAATATGCATAACTTCACCATGTGACTGTTTATTAGCTTTATAAAGTTGCAAATCCATTTCTTTACTTTTTAGACCATTTATGACCACATCAAGAGTGATAACATCCATACAATATTTTATAGCTGATTTTACATCTGAATATGAACTAGGAATGGCATTTAACAAGACAATAGAGCTGTAATCATCTATGTTTTTATCTCCTGTGAGTTTTATATCTTGTATTAATTTGGTAAAAACATCTAAATTTTCATCTATTGTCTTAGAAAGGTCTAATTTAAAGCTAAAGAACTTTTCCAAATGGTGTATTCTATTTAGGAGAGATGTTTCAGTAAACATATTATTTAGTTTGTCCCACAAATCCTTAGCCGATTCATAAACCCTTAATTTTCTAATTACATGATCAGCTAGGTTCAAAATAATGCACAATGACGCAAGTTCATCCAGCCCATTCCTCTTTACAGTAGGAATTTCAGCTTCTGGATCAAGTTCAACGGCTCTTATTAATCTTTAAATTACAATGACACTTCTCATTTTTTGTTTCCAAATAGCAAAATCAGTTTTTCCATCAAAAAGTTGTATATTAAAGTATGCTTGGTTTAACATTTTGACAAGAA